AAAAACACGGGATAGGATGAAAAAAAAACAAAAGACGGATAATTTTCATCCATAATTTCTCTTTCAAGTACAAACACGAAGAGGATGAAAAAGGCCTCAATGCTCAGCTACAAGGTTTGGGATAGGTGTTTTTTATTTCGTAACTGTGCGAGTTGAAGGGGGATGAGGAAAAGAGTTTCACCATTTTAATAGAAACGTATTCATCAATGGCGGGCCCACACATTTACAAAAAATTTGACCCCAGACAACCACCCCTCTTTATTACAAAATAAATGAACATTGACTTTACTGCCACTTGGTTTTTTTTTAAACACAAAAATATACTAACTGTTATAAAACTAGAGAGAATTGAGACTATAGAGAATAGAGAAACTGTATTCTTTTCGGTGTCTTTTTCATTATAACTGAAGCCTCTATTTATAGGAAAACTTCTGATGGTACAATCGTAATAATACAATTACATCAGGGACAAAATAGTCATTCACATACATTAAAATAATAACACGAGGTGCATGCGCACCTTATATTACAACACTCCCCCTTGAATGACTATTTTTAGTGGAATATCCACTCGTTTATAACACTCCCACTTGGAATTACTACTATTAACTGTGCGTTTGTGCTGCCTCGTTAAAAACCTTATCTGGAAAAACCCTGTGGGAAAAAACCGAGATAAGGAAAAAAGAGTACAGCCGCACATACTCCCCCTCAAGTTATTATCTATGCAAATCCCGAAGATGTCTCATTCCAATATTGTGCACATGCTTTCGAAACATTGTAGTCGGAAGCGCTTTCGTAAATAAATCTGCTGCATTATCGCTTGATCGAATGTATTGAACTTTGATATGTTTGTTTCTTTCAAGTTCCTGAGCATATGAGAAGAACTTTGGCGGAATATGTTTAGTTCTGTCACTCTTAATGTATCCCTCTTTGGTTTGAGCGACACATGCTGCATTGTCTTCGAATATCAGGGTCAGTATTATTCGATAGTCCACTGGCTTGTTGAATATGTTGAGTTATGTTTCTGAGCCAGATGCTTTCCCTAGTTGCTTCATGAAGTGCAATGATCTCAGCATGGTTTGAAGATGTCGCGACTAATGTTTGTTTCTGGGAACGCCAAGAAAACGCAGTTCCACCAATCATGAAAACGTAGCCAGTTTGAGATCTTGCTTTATGGGGGTCTGATAGATATCCTGCATCTGCAAAACCGATCATTTCATGTTTTTTATCGTTTGAGTAAAACAATCCCAAATCGATTGTCCCTTGGAGATAACGAAATATGTACTTGATTCCATTCCAGTGTCTCCTCGTAGGTGACGAGTTATATCTTGCTAACAAGTTGGTGGCAAAAGATATATCTGGTCTGGTGCAATTTGCAAGATACATAAGAGCTCCTATTGCACTCATATATGGTATTTCAGGACCAAGTATTTCTTCATCTTTTTCACAAGGTCGAAATGGATCCTTTTCAACATCTAATGTTCGATTGACCATTGGGGTACAAAGGGGATTAGCCTTGTCCATATTGAATCGTTTCAATATTCTTTTAGGGTAATTACATTGATGGACAAATATCCCATTTTGGACTCGTTCTATTTGCAAGCCGAGACAATATTTGGTTTGTCCGAGATCTTTCATTTCAAATTCGCCTTTCAGTAAAGTGACTGCTTCTTGGATTTCATTTGTAGCCCCAATAATATTAAGATCATCGACATAGACAGCAATTATCACAACTCCATCTTGTGATCTTTTGATAAAGACACACGGGCATATTAGATAAAGACACACGGACAGCAATTATCACAATGATCTTTGCAGTTTTATCGCACATAAATCTTTAGGTTTGGACTTTAGTGCTTCGGGTACCCTAATCCCTTCTGGGATTTCATATAAATGTCAGCGTCTAGCGATCCATATAAGTAAGCAGTCACAACATCCATGAGACGCATCTCAAGATTTTCATGGATGGCTAAACTAATCAAGTATCTGAATGTAATTGCATCCATAACAGGGGAATATGTTTCATCATAATCAATCCCAGGCCTCTGGGAGAATCCCTGTGCTACAAGACGAGCTTTATATCTTGTGATCTCATTTTTCTCATTTCTTTTTCTGACAAAAATCCATCTGTATCCAATAGGTTTTATGTCTTTTGGTATAATGGTAATAGGTCCAAAAACCTTTCATTTATTAAGTGAATCTAACTCGGCTTGAATAGCACCTTTCCACTTGTCCCAATCATGTCTTTTCTGACATTCATTCATAGATTTTGGTTCAGGATCCTCAACCTCTTTGTCAATTTCTTGTGATACCATATATGTGAATGCATCATTAATGACCTCATCACGCTTCCAAAGATTCCCATTGTTCACGTAATTGATGGATTTCAATATTTTCATTTCGTCCCGAAATTTTTCCATCATCTTGATTCTTTTTCAAATTCGAGTCATGAATTTCTCTTTTCTTTCGAGGATTCTTATCTTTAGATCCAACTGGTCTTCCTTGTTTTAAGCGTGTTTTTAACTCATTTGGCATATCATCATTTGCCATTTCATTTGGAATCTCAATTCGAGCAGGGGCATTTACGGCTGCCACATGTGATTTGGTTACCCTTTTTAAATCCGTAAATGCATCTGGTAATTGATTTGCAATATTCTGCAGATGTATGATCTTTTGAACTTCTTGCTCTCTTTGTTTGGTGGGAGGATCAAGATATGATAGCGATGATGTTTGCCATTCAATATTTCTCTCAATTAACTTTTCACTCCCACCTAAAGAGGGGAACAATTCTTCATTAAAATGACAGTCATCAAACCGAGCTGTAAAAACATCACCCGTTTTTGGCTCAAGATATTTGATTATTGATGGAGAATCATATCCAACATATATTCCCAACCTTCTTTGAGGCCCCATTTTTGTACGTTGGGGCGGAGCAATTGGTACATACACTGCACAACCAAAAACTCTTATATGTGTAATATTTGGTTCTCGACCATATGCCAACTGTAATGGAGAGTATGTATGGTGTGCACTTGGTCTTATTCGAATTAGATCATCTGCATGCAGAATAGCATGTCCCCATACTGAAGTGGGGAGTTTTGTCCTCGTTATCAATGGCCTAGCTATAAGCTGCAGTCGTTTAATCAATGATTCTGCAAGACCATTTTGAGTGTGAACATGTGCCACAGGATGTTCAACATCAATTCCCACTGCCATACAATAATCATTAAATGCTTGAGATGTAAACTCTCCAGCATTGTCAAGTCTGACTCTTTTGATAATATAATCTGGGAATTGAGCCCTTAATTTAATAAGTTGGGCAAGAAATTTAGCAAATGCCACATTTCTAGTGGATAACAAACTCACGTGAGACCATCTACTAGAGGCATCAATTAACACCATAAAATATCTGAATGGACCACAAGGTGGATGAATAGGTCCACATATATCACCATGAATCCTTTCCAAAAATAATGGTGATTCATGTCCGACTTTAGTATGTGATGGTCTCATTATCAATTTCCCTTGAGAACATGAGGCACATTTCAATTCATGTGTTTGCAATATCCTCTGATTTTTTAATGGATGCCCACTAGAATTTTCAATAATTCTTCGCATCATTATCGAGCCAGGATGACCAAGTCGATCATGCCAAAGTTTAAACATTTTATTCGTCTTTGAATTTGTTGCAGCATAAGCCTCGATCATATTAATCTGGGTGTAATATAAACCCGAGGACAGAGCGGGTAACCTCTCCAAAATACATTTATTTCTTGCATTGTTTGAGTTAATGCAAAGATATTCAACTCCCCCTTTATTCATTGTTTCAACGTGGTATCCGTTCATTCGGATATCTTTAAAACTCAACAAGTTTCTTGTTGATTTTGGGGAGAATAATGCATCATTTACTGTAAATTTGGTACCTCCCATCATAAAAAAATATGGCCTTGCCAGAACCCTCAATTATCTTTGCGCTTCCGGATATGGTGTTTACTGTTGCTTTATTTAATATCAAGTTGACGAAATATTTTCTGTCCTTGAGTATAGTATGAGTAGTGGCACAATCTGCAATACATATATCTCCATTTTGGATTCGAGACCTATCCATGATCTAAAAGAAAACAACATTTATTATTGATTAAATTCGAAATACAGATAAAAAGAAGTCCACACACAAATACAACAAACTTAGAAAGCATAAAAAACATGATCATCAGTTATTCTCCTGGTCATTTCCATCTCTGTCTTCAAACACTGCATCGGCAAAATCCAGTTTCAATATGTCATCGATGCCATAGTCATCATCCACACGTGTTGCATCATTTTCAGAAGATTCCCCAACCATAAAATTGGTTTCTATATTTTTATCTTTTGATTTCTGGGAATCGTTACAATTATCAACAACGTGTCTCGGAGCACGACAATTTTGTGCCCAATGTCCCTTCCTTCCACATCGATAACATGCATTTTCATTATTATTCTCCGTCACATTGTTCTGTTCAAATTTTTGCTGGAAATTTCTCCCCCTTTCATAATTTTGGACATAGTTGCGGCCTCTTCCACGATTGTATCCTCGGCCCGAGTTATACCCTCGGTGAAATTTGTGGCCTCGGCCAGTTTGGCGATCCGGACCATATCCACGGCCACGCCCTGAGGTATATCCACGCACATGATTTTAACTGTTTTTATTTTCAGTTCCCTGTCTAGATATTACAGTATTTATTTCAGGGACCGCAGTAGATCCCGTAGGTCTAGATTCATGGTTTTTCATCAACAACTCATTATTTTGTTCAGCTAGCAACAAGCAAGAAATCAACTCAGAATATTTCACAAAGCCTTTTGCTCTGTATTGTTGCTGCAAAAGTACATTTGAAGCGTGGAATGTGGACAACGTTTTTTCCAGCATATCGTAATCAGTTATGTTTTCCCCGCATAATTTCAATACCGAGCAAATGCGGAACATTGCTGAATTGTACTCGTTTACAGTTTTGAAATCCTGGAAGCGTAAGTGCATCCATTCATAACGAGCCCGGGGGAGAATCACCGTTTTCTGGTGATCATACCTTTCTTTCAAGGCTTTCCAGAGATCTGCAGGATCTTTCACAGTTAAATATTCATTTTTCAATGCCTCATTCAAATGATGTCTCAGAAATATCATTGCTTTAGCTTTATCTTGTATTGATGAATTATTTGGGGAGATTATTGTTTCTCCCAACCCCCTTGCAGCCAAATGAATTTCGGCATCCAATGTCCATGAAATATAATTTTTTTCAGATATATCAAGAGCTTCAAATTCGAGTTTGACCAGATTTGCCATGACAACTATAAAATAAAACACCAATGCTTAGATTCGAAAAAATTACATATACAATCATTAATTCTCCAAAACGTACAGAAGAGCAAATAATAAACTCATTATACAAAGACCTAATACATAAAATATAAATTCAGGAGTATGATACATCATTGTGAAAATTCCCAAAGCGTATATAATAAACAATATAACGGTAATTATAAATAGTAGATGAAACATTTTTTTTTCTTTTCGTTTGAGGAGAATATATATTAGTATTTGGAATGAGTGTTAATTTATGAAATATAGTGTTATATATATAGATTGATAAAATAACCGTTGCAATATAGCCGTTAATTAGCCATTGGAAACAAATTAATGATATAATATTTGTTAGTTAATCAACTCATGATTATAAAATTCTAATTAATCATGTATATTACCTTAAAAATTTTCCGAGCCATTATGCAAACAATTTAATGAATATAAGTAGCAAAAAAAATAAAAATGTCACTCCACACTACTCAATAAATCTTTCGGTGGATACAGGAATAAGTAGTTATAAATTTCACGCCACATTACTGGATAAACCAGTTTGTGGGTGTTAAGTATAAGTAATAATATTATTTATATAACTTGAAGTTATTATTCATAATTAGTAGTTCATAAGCAAATTTAATAATATCATCTTACCACATATTATTGACTATGGCATAGCCTGACTTGCCAATAATAATGGTAATGTGTGAATAATGTTATATTTAGTACATTCATACCACATATCCTTGACTGTGGCAGAGCCTAACTTGTCAAGAATAATGGTAAATAATGTCATATTTAGTATATTCATACCACATATCCTTGACTGTGGCAGAGCCTAACTTGTCAAGAATAATGGTAAATAATGTCATATTTAGTATATTCATACCACATATCCTTGACTGTGGCAGAGCCTAACTTGTCAAGAATAATGGTAATTAGTAAAATATACACATATATATTGTTATATTCTTACCTTTCTGACCAGGTAGAGCGCTCGTGCTGATAACGTGTTATAAAACTAGAGAGAATTGAGACTATAGAGAATAGAGAAACTGTATTCTTTTCGGTGTCTTTTTCATTATAACTGAAGCCCCTATTTATAGGAAAACTTCTCATGGTACAATCGTAATAATACAATTATATCAGGGACAAAATAGTCATTCACATACATTAAAATAATAACACGAGGTGCATGCGCACCTTATATTACAACACTAACAACACTGTTAATTCCAATTTTTAATAAAAAAAAAATTGTGAACCAAGTTTATTTCATACTTTTGCGCCAACAAACTTTTTTATGCACAATGTGTCAAACCAAATTTATAAAATTAACCTACAAATGTTATTACATGCGACTATTTTTCATATCTATTAATATATAAAGAGGGAATGATAGTTGTTTGAAAAAATCGTGTAGGAAATCAGCACAAAAAAAAGATTTCAAAACCCGCCTAAAGTTTATAGCAAGATTTTTGGCGAAAAAATGAATAAGCCCGCCCATGCTATTCGAAATTTTTGGAGATTTATTGATTGGTTTCAGCTTATTTGGACTTATCTATTTCTACAATCTGATTTTTTTTAATCCAAAATTTGAAGGAAAAGATCCGCATCAAAAGGAANTCAAATCCTTTTTTTTCTCTCTCTCCATTTTCCCCTCTTTTCTTCTTCTGCCCGATTTTCTTCTTTCCCTCATCTGTCACTCTCCTTCTTCTTCTTTCTCCAACCCCAAATTACCTCCCAACATCAGAATCGGTCAGCCATCCTTAACTATCCTCTTAACATTTATCAATAACACCCAAGAATTCCAAATCTCAAAATCAATTTCCTTTCTTCCCCATCCAATCGTTTCTCTAAAACCCGGCCGGTGGTCGAGCCTGAAAACGGGAAATTCTCGGTCCACCTATATGCAATTCCACCATGGAATTTAATACTCTCCGGCGGCGCTGGGGGAGGCGGAGGCGGAATTGAATCGGTGCTGGCGGAAAGGGAGATGCGCCGCCAGCGGGCGCAGCTGGATCGCATGCACTCCGGCGCCCAGAAGGCGCTCCGGCGGCTCAAGTTCATCAGCGACAGCAAAAAAAGCCACGTCGACGGCTGGAGCGAAGTCGAGAGGAACTTTGCGAAACTCGCCAAAGATGACTACCTCTATCGATCTGATTTTCGGCAATGCATAGGTTGTTAATTGATGGCTAATTGTGTTGTTAATTGCGGTTTGTTGAGCTCAAACGAGTGCTTGATTTTTAGTTAAACCTGTAATTTTCTATTACAGGAATAAGGAATTTGCGTTGGAATTGTTCGATGCCTTGAGCAGAAGGAGACGGCTAAAAGTGAACAAAATCAGTGAGGAGCTTTACGAATTATGAAATATTTGCAAACAAAAATGAAACTGCTAAAAAAAAATCATGTAACATAAAGAGAATCTATCTACTATATAATTAGGCAACACACTTGCCATTTTTAGAAAGTTTTATGTGGGTCCTACAACACTCTTACTATTTTTTAAAAATCCTCACATTTTTTGACACGTGTTCATATTTATATTAATATTAATTGCCTCACCTAATATTTATTTAGTTTACCGATAACACGTGTTCATCAGTTGTGGCTCATTTTCTTAATACAAATAATTAAAAGTACGGAATCGTTTGTACTTGAAAATTTTTTTATAGAATTTAATTTTATTTTTTATTAAATATTTTAGTTAAAATTATTTAACTAATTTTCATAATTCATACTTTACAAATTAAAATAATATAAGTATTCGTATGCTTAATTTTTTAAATTTTCTTATCTTAAATTTTGTACATAAAAATTAAATCTAATAGTAATGAAATTAGATATATAATATTTCAAAAACATGCGCAATGAAAAACACACAAACATTCTTCATTATAAATAAATAAATAAATAACAACATGTTTGTATAATATTTTTTATTTCATTTTCTACAACATACAAATAATAATAGTGAAATTAGATATAAAATAATTTAAAAACATGCGCGATGAATCACACAAACATTCTTCATAATAAATAAATAAATAAATAATATCATGGTTGTAGAATATTTTTTGATTCATTTTCTACAAGTTGAAAAATCCAAAACATTGATTAAATTAATCAATTAAACAAATAGTATTATATATATATATATATATATATATATGCAATATATGTGATGAATATTAAATTACATAATATAAAGAGTATTTCGTAAATACTTTTGTATTTATTAGTAATATCGCGATAACATAAAAATATGACTTAAATGTTAAATGGTAGGTAGTTAATTTATTTATTTTATACTTATAAATTTATGTTCATAAAATATTTTATTTTTTAATACGCAAACCAGTCCAACATACTTAACAACACTAAATAAAGTTCAAAATAAAATACGGTCATAAGATTTTTATTTAAAAAAAAAATACTAACACCACGTCTAACTTATGGAAGTTAAAAATACACCCCTAAAACCATGAAATTCGAAAGTTAAAAATACACCCCTAAAACCATGAAAGTCAGTTTAGAAGTTAAAGTCAGATAGAAGTTACTACATGTTTGTAAGTTTTGTTAGACGTTAAAAATACACCCTAAAAACATTAAAGTCAGTTTGGAAGTTAAAGTTAGATAGAAGTCATGAAAGTCAGTTTGGAAGTTAAAGTTAGATAGAAGTTAACACACGTGTGTAAGTTACATTGTTGTGAGTTTGCAAGTTAAAATCATATAGAAGTTAACACACGTGTGTAAGTTACATTGTTAGTGGAAGTTAACACATGTGTAAGGTACATTGTTAGTGGCTTGAATCGTTACTTGCACCTTGTGATGCAATATTATGAAAGACTGCTTGAAATACCATTCTCTGGAAGTTAATATTGAGGTGATTCTTTCAAGACTTTTTTTAAAAAAAAAAAAAAAAAATCGTTATTATACATATGCTATTTAATTTTGTTTTCTAATTTTTGTGTTTTTCACGTTGTACAGGTCTCAATAAAAAAGATTCATGTAGATTTGTTCAAACGTTTCATCACAGAAGATGGAGTCATTGGTATCCACACTTTATTGTAGCACCAGCGGCAGATATAAATAAAAATTTCCCGAAGTTTATGTATAGCTTCAAAGTTTTACCCCAGCGGCAAATATAAATAAAAATTTCTCGAAGTTTATGTATAACTTCAAAAGTTTTATCGATTTGGCTAAAGGCTCCTTTTGTAAAATTTCTCAAAGTTTATGTATAACGTCAAAAGTTTTACCGATTTGGCTAAAGGCTTTTTTTGTAAGGACTCTTGATCCGTAATTATATCTTATGCATATCAAAAATAAAGTATAGATTTTAGTTATTGAGGATTAAATTATACGAATGTTATACATGAAGAACTTTGTACCAACTTTACGTCGCTGTTTCCCGAGTTACAAAAGGGAAATGACTGAAAATATTAATTTGTGATGATAAAAAAAACTCAAAACTTTACCTCGCTGTTTCAGAGTTACAAATGTGAAAGGATTGAAAATATTAATTTGTGATGATAAAAACAACTCAAAGACGAAGAACGTTGTTCTGAATTTATATGAATTGCAAATGCTCTTTTGATTTTTTTATTTTTTTTTTGTAGCTCCCGTGCATTTGCACGGGCAACTGTACTAGTTGGGCTATATGATACAGAAATCTTCGGGAACCTATGTGGCAAAATTACATGCTTCTTATTAAGTTCGGATTGTCCATAAATATGTTGATTATTTATGATCATTTTACATTTATTTAGTGCATTTTAATATCATTTTCTATTATATTTTTTGTTAATAATAATTACAAAAATAAGTTTATTTATCAATTAATATATTTAAATTTAAAGTAGTCATACTATTTAAATTATAAAATTACTAAAAGCTAACATATGGAAGTCGCAAAAGTAACAAATGTCATTCTAAAGTATATAATAATACATCTTTTGTGTAAACACAGTAAATTATTTTTTATCATATTTTAAAATTTACGAATAATTTTTAGATAAGCTCACGTGTAATACACGATGGTGTATTAGTAGTTGTATGATGAGCAAAAGGGTCAAACAAAGTCCTATTCAAAATTGACGCACCTTACGAGGATTGAAATACCATTATCAAGTAAAAAAAAAATCTGCAAAAAAGTATTTGTATGATGAGCAAAAGGGTCAAACAAAGTCCAATTCAGACGCACCTTACGAGGATTGAAATACCATTATCAAGTAAAAAAAAAAAAAAAAATCTGCAAAAAACGGCGGTGGAATCGAGGATTGACCGAGCATTTGTTTGTGTTGGAAAAATGAATGTAAGAAAACTTTTGTTGGGAACAATAGCCGGCAGATATTCCAAGACATATCCCATTCCCCCACACCCAAATTCTATTATTACTTCTCCGTCCATAGAGCCTCGTCGGCCACTCTGCCCGGGGTATCGCCACCGCCGAACCCAAGAAGAAGACGAATTCGTTGTTTCCCTTTATGTTTTCATTTATTGTGTTCTTTGTAACCAAGGATTTAAAGTTAGGGTTCTTGTGGTTTAATACTACAATGAGGTGAATTGAACCGATTTTTTTTTTTGGTAATTTTGAATTGATTTTATTTGGGATTACATTATTGTCTTCGCTACAATTACTGTTCTTCTGGTAATTTGGTAATTTTTTTATTATTGGTAATTTTTGAATCGATTTTATTGGTAATTAATGGAGTTTCTACACGATATCGCCGTTCAAGTGTGTTGAAGTTGTTTTCGCAATTGTAAATTTCACTACCGTAGTTCCTATTGTTCGTCATAATTTTGGGACCCCAGGTTTGTATTTGTGTTATTCTGTCTCATTACGTCTCATGTGTGGCACCAGTTCACATTATTTTTTCGTCGTTCTGTCTCGTTAACATATATGACAAATTTTCATCGTAATTTTCTCTGAAGTTGGACATTTTTTAACAAGTTCACATTATCCACGAAGATAACACGTTAGACAACATGTCTGAGCACTTTGAGAGGTTTTTCAAGCACATTGTGAATCCGTAGAAACGAACAATGGTACGATTGCCAATTTATCACTTGATGTTTCATTTTTGTGAATTTTTGTTACGTGCAATGTAGAAGCTTCCCGATGCTCTCAACCATCAATATAGCCACCTTATACCCGTTCAATGCACCCTTACCACCAGAGAGGGACGTAGGTATAACGTCACAATGAGAGGTACTCTTTTTCAGGTGGTTTTTGATGAAGGGTGGTTAGACGTTGTGCGTGCTGAGGAAATTATGACCGACAATTGTTTGTGGTTCGACCGCACGTCCTTAACGGATTCGTAATGACAGTCTTCACGGAGACGCAAGTTGAATGGGATCTTCATCACCGTTTTACGCTGCAGATCACATGTAGAATGTGCGCGCTTAGTAATTTTATATTAATATCTGTTTAATGTATGGTATTTTTAATTTATTTTTACCGCATAAATAATTATAATTACCCGATATTGCAGCTTATTCCGATTATTTTTTTGCGATCCCATATTCAAAACGTATCCACCGAGCAATACAGAGTAATTTTGGACTTTGAAGACAACAGACATGAATTACAAATTGTTCAAGGCCATGGAAACATATTGATGCAAAATTGGGATGCTCGAGAATTTGTGGATGATACTGAAATGGTTGAAGGGTCTACATGGTGCTTCACATTAATTACATATGTTTGTGTTCGTTTCGAGGTTACGTTAGTGTAATTTGTGTTGACGGTGAACACGTATTTTTTCGTGTAACAAAATTATGTGATAGTATTTGCAGACATGTAGTGCTGATGGATCAGATTCATGAATATCTTTTTTATGTTATAATTCATGTTATTATTCGTCTTCGTCATTATTACAAATTTGTACTCCAACAAAAACAACACAAAGTGAGTATGCCTGGTTTATAATTCGTATTAACGTAAAAGAAAATGTTGTCCTTTTGTATTTACAAACCAAAAAAGAAAAATGGCGCACATTGTTGTAAACATTATTCTACGGATAGTTCCATTGGCCCACCCACGTAGATTTGTCCACCCATGCAATAGTTTGCAATCAGAAATGATATTCTCCACTTATATAAAGACACTCCCATTTTGCAAGTTCAATCACTCGATAAGCAATACAACAAAATCATGAATTTGTCACACATAAACACAAAGGTTGAACACTTCAATTTTATACGCGAAGGTTTTTCAAACAAATGGAATGCGCGCAACGAAGAGCGCTTTTGTATGGTACTACAACGTTTTATTCGATCTGAGGCCTTGTCACACAAGTTACAGATCGAGCAAGCTTTCAACTGATTGTACCATATGTGCCTCGTAGAAATTTCTCCCTACCTCTTTTTCACGGAGTGCTATGTCAAGTTCAAGGTATTGAAGGAGAGTTACCGTACGTTCAGTTTTTTGCTAGAACAAGACGATGTTGTTTGCGATGTAACCTTGAACAAGGTGTATCTTGATGACTACCAAAGAGAAACGATGAACCATGTAAGTCGCTTATTTCTATTTCAATATGTGGTTAATGTAAAAACAACGTATGTCTTCTTCTCAATTTTATTTTTACACCTTTTAAATTTTCTGTGTTCTAGCATTGGCCGCTAGCAAAACTTTATGTTCATTGTCGAGAGCCTATGTGGGATACTTTGAAGGCAACATTTGCCACAATAATCCTTGAACATTACCCGAGTGAAGAGATATTCAAGAGGCACCCAACGCTTCCGACCTTGAACCAAATATGTGAGGATTATTGGGTGGAAGCTAGTTGTATGGCTGCGCGAAGAAGGCCCCAACATTAAAATTAGTTGCGGTTATTTGTTTATTGTCCTATTTGAATAAAAAATGGTTCCAAGGCAGGACACTCCGTTCATGTACTGTTTGTTTTTATTTTTTTAAACAAAAATCTTCACGCATTGTTGAAGAAATTCTTCATGAAAGATATGCTATTGCTGAAAGCATTTTCATTACATAGAGTTGTTCTTATTAGCCATTTCTTTTTCTGGAAAAGTTTGGAATCAAATATATCAGAACCCCCACTCATATTGTTGCATCAATAATGTTATCTATGTGCACTAGTGGCCAAAAAAATGAAGTAAAAAAAAAGGCAAACAAACAAACAACTACATGACAAAACGTTCTCTCTCAAACTTAATAAAATGAGGTGAAAGGACTTGAGAGATACCGATTCCCCCAAGCATTGGAGAATGCTTGNATCACGGGTGCAATTGCAGCTCCAAGATACTTCCTTGTTTATTCTTTTTTAATTTGTTAATCTATAAATTGGGTGCCCAAATAAGTCATTACATCCACCAAAAAAAGAAGTACATCATGTTTCTCCAACCGCCAATGTGTTCTGGTTGCCAAGGTCCTATGAAGCGTTTCATGGCACGTACCAAAAAGAATTATGGTAAGTATTTTTTTCGATGCCCAGTTGGGGAACAACACCAAAGAAGTTTCATATGGGAAAATCATATGAACCGAGAAGGTTATTCGCAAGAGAGTTTCAATACTCACGGCATTACTCGAGATGGTGCACAAAGTAGCAGACAAACATGTTTCACATTTTGGAGACTCGCCGACCGCAATGACAAACAACACGACAAACACACCCTCGTCTACGTATCTAACAACAGTTGTGGTCGCTTGTCCAATTTGTTTTTTATTATTTTTGGCTATTTTCAGAATGTTATGTTTTATAGTTCTAGTGAAATATATTAGGACCTGAGTACATCTCTTGTTCTTATTGTGCTTCCGCAAATGTATCGGTGTACTTTTATTCCTGTATCGTAATGTTTGTATTGAATTTACAACGGAATTCAAATTAACTTACGGGCATTTGTTTTTGTTTATATATATATATATATATTTTTTTTTTTTTGAACCTGGAAGTATTTATTACTAATACCATAGCTATGAATGTAGAAAGTAGATAACCATGCCTTTTTTGTTGCGCAAAGATTTGTTGTGGAGGAAACGGAAATAAAAATTGGTTTTCTCACTGCATGTGAATGAAAATTCTTTCATGTAACTGCATGGAACCTGATAAGGTCCAGGACGAATGACTCCGAGTCCTCACCAGGTCCTCTTCGATTTGAATGGTAGGTCGGTGGATGTAGTTCAGTTCATGCACTTGAGTTCGCCGGTACCTGCAAAGTATCGGAATTGCTCCAGCGCAAAACCCTCCGACGCCCAAGTCAGTATCCATCCATAAAGAGAAAGAGAGTTGAGAGCAATAAATGTAGTAGTGAAAATGAAATGAGAGCTTCCCTTTGGTTCTAGCATTTAACGTATATATAGCGTTTAATTGTACGGATTACCTTCTTACTTGGGCATCTATCGGCCTAGTGTAGGCCGGTCGATACTGGGATACAGGGGTCGATACTAGGTTCACCTCACTGCTGCCTTGCGGTCCGCCTGAGTTGGTCGACACCCCCTCGACCCGTTCGACCGTGCACATCGACACTCGACCCGACCCTTAACGGTCCTTAATATCGGCCAAGGGTAGATGTGTTCTACCCTCCAAGCCATGGGTCTATGTGTTCTACCCTTTGGGCCATAGGTCTATGTGTTCTACCCTACAGGCCATGGGTCTATGTGTTCTACCATTGGGCCATAGGTCTATGTGTTCTACCCTCCAGGCCATGGGTCTATGTGTTAATAATCCTTCGGGCCATGGGTCTATGTATTCTACCCTTTGGGCCATGGGTCTATGTATTCTACCCTTCGGGCCATGGGTCTATGTATTTTACCCTTTGGGCCATGGGTCTATGTGTTCTACCATTCGGGTTATAGGTCCATGTGTTCGATCTTATGAGCCGGTCAATTCTCCGGCCCTCTTTGACCCTAGCTCAATCCCATGGTCCATTCAACTCCGATTCTATGGGTCCTTATCCGGTTGAGTCGAGTCGGTATTAATGTCCATATCAGAACCCAATGTAATTTTGAGACATTGTTTTCTTTTTTTTTTTTCCTTTTTTTTTTTTTCCTTTTTTTTTTGTTAATGTAACCATGCATGTGAATGAGTGGCCGACAATTACTGTCACTGCAGGCCTTGGAACCGATGATATAGGAGGGCCATATGGAGGATGGGAATATATATCTAGTAAAATACTAGCATTAACACTCCACTTTACTAGTAAAAAAACTAGTTAAATTGCATTCTAGACGATAAACAATCACCCCCTAAACTATCGCCCCCTTAATAATAAAATAGCTCATATATTTTATTTTTTTTAATTCACGTATTTTTTTATTTATTTCTTATAATAGCTTAATTTCTTATTTTTTATATACAATTTTTTTTTCATTACTTGTATTAGTTGCTTATCAGTAAATTTTACAAAACATTTATGGTTAAATTNAGTGTGATTCACTATTAAATTTGACTCATAAAAAGGAGGCCACTTTGGATACAAAATTGTTTTCTATTGTTACATGTATATAATAAATGTACATAGAGGTGTATATAACACTCACATAGAGTGGGGTCCACTTAATTTTTTATTAAAAAATGCTACAAGTACATAATAAATGTACATAGATGTGTACATAACATTCATATGGAGTGAGGTCCACTTGATTTTTTTATTTTTGGTAGGACCCACCGAATGTGAGTGTTATGTACACCTCGATGTACAATATTATATACCTATAGCACTTCTCTTTTTTATTTTTGGTAGGTCCCGCTCAATGTGAGTGTTATGTACACACTTATGTACATATAGCATTTCCCATAAAAACTTAAGTGGATCTCACTCCATGTGTTATGTACACCTCTATGTACATTTATTATGTATTTATAGCATTTTTTAAATAAAAAATTAAGAAAAATGCTATATGTACATAATAAATGTACATAGAGGTGTACATAACACTCCATGTGTACACTATTTGTATTTATAGCATTACCCAAAAATTAAATGGATCCTACTCCGTTCCATGTGAGTGTTATGTAATCTATATGTACATTTATTATGTATTGCATTTTCCTTCTATTTTAATGTATTTTTTAATGTTTTTACGAGGAATAATATAAATAATTTTCCCCCTAAAACAGCCTAATCGAGTAATTGACTAATTTCATACTTCTAAATTCGTTTCTCAATCTCCACACAAACCAGTGAACCACGGCTGATGGTACTGTGGCCATACTCACCCACGCCCAAGCAACTGGCCGTCACCGCCTGCGGCTTGCTCTCCGGCGCCGCCCTCATAGCCGTCGGGGCCCACCTCTCCTTCTCCAACGTCGGCCCTCAAAGGGCCCGAGCCCAGGCCCGCAAAGAGTTCGTCAAATCCCGTATACGGAAGCTTGTCGAAGATTAATTCACGATCGTGCCCTTTCCGTTTCAAGTCAGATCCGATTGCCCGTAATTCGTTTGCTCGAACCCGTTGAAGTTTACGGTTATGCTGTCAAAATTATTTCTCACGCATCCATTTTGATTTTAGGGATTTTGAGTTAGTGTTCATATTTCTATTTATTTATATATTTTTCAATTTTGGTTGTTGCTGTTGATGGTAATTTATATCTTATACGAGTTCAATATTGAAGCCATTAATCCGTTGCTATCTGTGTTTTATAAATGAATGCTTCTTTCTTGATGAGGTTTTGGTGAAAATAATGTTTCCCTTACTTAACTAACTCACTTTCTTAAAAATCATTCATATCTGATATCGTTTGGTAGGGGTGTAAACGAGCTGAGGCAAGCTCAAGCTCGGCTCATTAATAAAAATTAACAAGCCGAGATATATAAAATTACACAAAAAAATTCTATTTTCGAGCCTTAGCAAGCTCGTCTCGTTAACTCAACGAGTTTTAATCGAGCTTGAGGTCACGAGAGGCTCGTTTCTTTTAACAGCTCTAGATATGCGTTATTGGCTAGGTGTAGTCATCTACATTGCTGAAATTAGTTATCCCCTTTACAAATTAGTTAAACAAGCCACTTAACTAATTTCCATTACTTGTGCTGTTTTTGGTTGAAAAGGCCGATTGTTTGGTTAGGTTTTACAATTTATGGAGGAAGCTGGATACTTAACTGGGTTGTAGGTGTCGGAATTGACGGAGGCCATGGCCCACGAGAACTATTTTTTCGAATGAATGGTTAGAGGGATTAATGGATGTTGGGAGCTTTGCATTGCCTATAACTCATGTGGTGAAGACTAATGGCTTAACTGTTTTCTTTCTTGAACATAGATTTTGGGTCATAATAGTTACTTTATTTCGTTTAGTGTCTGGAGGCCCGATTACTGTGTGGTGTGTAGTGTGAAACCCGATTTCGTTAGAGCCATTTTGGTTTTTCGGAAGTTTAAACTGACCTGGGGTCTTCATTTAACAACAACAACAACAACAACGTACCCAGTATATTCCCAACCTTTATTGTTTTGTAGGTTTAGTTTAACTCAAACCTTTATTGTGACTTGCGAGTATATCGAATATAATTATTTTTTAGAATGACACATTTGTATGCATTTTAGAGCATCTCCAATGGCATCTTGTCCATTTGGAGTTGCATGGCATGAAGGAAGGAGATTAAGAAATTGTGTTTCCAATGGTTAATGTTAAAGATGTTTTAATTTGACATGTGTAAATTTCTAATTGGTTGAAAAGAAGAAATAAATTGAATAAATAATATAATATGTAGTAGAAGTTGTCTAGAAGTAATTCTACATCTAGAAAGACTTCTAGAATTTTTTTAGGCCACGTAGGTTTTCTTGTGCTATGTGGCAACAAAATGAGGCAATCCACATGCCATTGGAGATGCTCTTATAGGCTCCATAACAGAACTATTTCCAAAGGGCAAGAATAATTTGAGTCATTAACATTAAGAATCACACTCTGTACCCACATTCTGCAGTCTTGGCACTGTAGAGACTAATCTGCCTGCAACCATAAAGCTTTGCCCAAGCCATCCAATCACCATCACATATATTGTTTAATTTGCAGTTACATGTAAATAATTGCATAATGATGTGAAATTGAGACTATACAAAACTATTGCACTGCTTTTTTTCTGAAAAGAATTTGACCAATATCACAAAAGGGCTGAAGTAAATACGGCTTATATACAAGGTACATAAGAACTGAAAAACGGAAATTTAATTGGTTCTGCACTCTCTTTCTGCATCAGTACATTTACAACCGATCTCATAATTGCTTTTCTGAATTGCATTTTCTTTTCTTGCACCAGTTTTGCGGATCAGCCCTCAATCTTCTTTATGTTGCAGGAAAAATTAAAATCTCGAGCATGACATAACATACCTACGGCAAATGATGTTAAAAAATTTTCGACCAAATACGAGACTAGCGGTAATACGTGTCGGGTGGTGGAGGTGGCGCTTGCAAAGGCTCGATCCTGGGACGTGGGCCCTTACTTGCCAGAGGAGACGATGGCGAAGGTCCGGGTTTTCCCCTTCTCTGGTGATAATGAAGTGCCCGAGACAACCTTTGTAGATCGGTTGTCGCATGTGATGAAGACAAATATGATCAAAAGGAAGAAGAAGAATAAGATGAAGAAATAAATTATTGGTTTCATATAGCTAGACATTTTTTTTTTTTTTTTTTTTTTCATTTTTTTTTTTTTTTTTCTTTTGGGGACAATTTTCTATGAATTGCATTTAAAGAGATATAGTGCAAAAGACTTGAAAATTTTCAAGTGGGCAGATATTGTTATACAGAGACACGCTTATGACGCCATGAATAATGAGTTGGAGGCTTTATTTGAGTAGAATTATATGCAGTTGTTTTGTACTTGTGTTGTTTATATAAAGATATAAAGAAAGTCAATAATATTATTGTTCACCTGTTCTGCAGTTTTGACTGTGCCCTCTTTTTCCATGAGAAAGTTTAAGGAACTTGCATTATATTTGTGTCTCGTGTTCCTTCGATGTTTACAAGCCAACAAACACGGGATTATAAACCATATAGTTTAGTGTAAAAAGGGTAAAATGTACTCTAAGCTTTTCATATAGTGTGTCATACGTTATTATGAGAGTATATATGCACTACTGTGTACAAAATTATGTGTTATATTTAATGTGTCTTATCTTATGTGAGAGCATACGTGCACAGTGCGCTATTATGTACTCTTAAGTATTTTCCTAAAAAATTCTGAAGTACAAATGAAGAGATATAAATACCTGTTAAAAACAATGTTTTTTATTTAATGTGTCATACCATGTGTGGCAGGTAGACATGGCCAAGGGCGCCCGGCCCGGACCCGGTCCCAGACCCGTGGTCCCGTTGACCATGGGTCCGGGACCGGACCGGATTTTCGCCGGACCGTTTCAAGGTCATTCATTTCATGACCCGGGCCGGAGCGGGTCGATGGCACTCTTTTTTTATTTTTATTTTTTTTTCTATTGTTTTTAAAAAATTGACGGACCCGGCCCGATCAACCAGACCATTGACCCGACACTTGTATAGGTTCGTGCCGGGTCCGGGTCAGTGTTTCCGAGCCCGGCCGACCCGGCCCTAGTTTTGGCCATGTCTAGTGGCAGGTCGATGGTTTTATTTTGGACATGAGGGTAGCGTCAGGACATTTGGTTTTCGAGAAGATAGACAACATGGTTGAATTTTAAATCTTGAACTGAGGGGCGATAGGACGAGGTGGTTGAAAAACTTTACATTCGAGCTAAGAGAGCTCAAACATGGTGATCGAAAAACAGCAAGACGTAAGTTCAAATTTTTAAATTCAAGACTTCGGGAAGTGGTCATTCGATTTTCGACCTCAACGGTGGATCACTCAGTTTTCGACCTCATCGATGGTCACTCGGTTTTCGACCTCATCAGTGGTCATTCGGTTCTCGGTTTTCGGCTTTCGACCCCAGTAGCGGGTCACTCAATTTTTGACCCTAGTGGTCATTCGGTGTTCGACCTCAGTGGCAGGACATTCGGTCTCTGACCTCATCGGCGGTCACTCGATTCTCGACATCCGTGGTCATTCAGTTTTTGGCCTTCGACCCCAGTGGCGGGTCACTCGATTTTCGACCCCATCGGCGGTCACTCGGTTTTCGACACCAATGGCATGTCACTCGGTTTTCGACCTTAGTAGTCATTTGGCTTTCAGTGTTCGACCCCAGTGGCGGGTCACTCAATTTTCGATCTCAATGGTCATTGGTTGTTCAATCTTAGTGGCAGGTCAGTTAGTTTTCGACCTTTTATTTGACCAGAGTCGGGTCATTCGGTTTTCGACCTCAGTGGTCATTCGTTGTTCATTTGGGTCCCGGTGTTCATTTGGAGGTTTGATGACTATTTGGTGATCGAGGAATTATTCAAATTATAACCTCAGTGGAAGGTTGACGGAAACAGCCCGAAGAGGCATTTCACTCTTGGATCGAGCCATGCTTACTCGACCAGAGTGGGGGGACTAGATGATATGGGATATTATACTAGACCGGTTTTGATGGATAAAAGGAATATATTGGAGAATAAACCTACATATGGGCTAAGGCATGTGGCATGATGGTATTGGTCAAGCCCAACTTGGGCCCTAAGGTACACTCCCCCTATAAAAGGAGACTAAGGTATCTCATTTTCTCATTCTCTCTTTATTCCTTACTACACTCTCATTTTAGCGAGTGTTGACTTAGGCATCGAAGACCTGACGCCAGGACCCCTCCCGGTGTTAGGTTCTTGCAGGTACGGAGGCCGTCCGAGTTGAAGGAGCCCGGGTGAAGTTCATTTCACCATTAAGGGCCATCAAAAAAATCACCGTCCATTATCACTTTTCCATTCTGTGTTGGACGACTTGTTGGATCAATCGTATGGCGCTTCCATCTTCTCTAAACTGGATCTCCGCAGTGGTTATCATCAGATTCGCATCCGCACGGGTGATGAGTGGAAAACTGTCTTCAAGATCTGAAAAGGCCTCTTCGAGTGGCTGGTGATGCCGTTTGGGATGTCCAATGCATCGAGCATGTTCATGTGTGTTACGAATCAGGCGCTACGCAAACTCATTGGTAAGTGTGTCGTCGTTTATTTCAACGACATATTTATCTATAGCCAATCCATGGAGGAGCATTTGTATCATGTGCATCTGATTCTTCTTAATTTGCGCGCAGAGCCTTTCTATGCGGCGTTGCGAAGTGCTTCTTCCAAGTTGATTTTGTTTGTTTGCTAGGGTTTGTTATTTCGGCGGACAGTATTCACGTCGATGATAATAAAGTGGTGGCAATTTGGGACTGTCCTACGCCGTCCTCTTTCACTAATGCTCGGAGTTTTCACAACCTCGCTTCTTTAATTTTATTGGCGTTTTATCTCTCATTTTAGCTCTATCACGGATTGCCTCTCGAGCTAGATGTTTATGCGGATTCTACAGGCAACTAAGGCATTTGCTCTTGTCAAGAGCAAGCTTACATCCGCTCTGGTCCTCGTGGTACCCAATTTTTTGCGACTTTTTGAGCTCTCATGCGACGCCTCAAAGGTCGGTATGGGGGCGACATTGAGCCAGGAAGCGCGCCCTATTGCGTTTTTCAGTGAGAAGCTCTCCAGACTCCGGTTGCGCTACAACACTTATAACATTGTGCTCTACGCGTTTTATCGTGTTGTGCGCTATTGGCGTCACTACCTTTTTCAGCGGGAGTTTTTTCTGTACAGCGTTCACGAACCTTTCCAGCACATTGCTTCCCAAGATAACATCTCTTACCGTCATGCTACTTGGACGTCATACTTGCAGCAGTTTACGTTTGTCGTGAAGCACCGTTCAGGGGCTTCTAATTGCGTCACTGATGCACTCAGTTGTTGTTTGATGTTGTTATCAGATATGCTAATTTCGGTAGTTGGCTTCGACTTGGTGCGTGACCTCTATGCAATTTTGGCCCGATTGTTGCGCGAGGCCCTTTTGAGGATTATGTTTTGTTGGATGGCTTTCTTTTTTAGGGTGTGCGCTTGTCTCGTCCTGAATGCAGTCTTCGACTGAAAGTGGTGGCCGATCTACATGGGGCCAGTCGCATAGGTCGTGACCATTCGGTCGAGCTGGTTCATCGTTTGTTTATTTGCCTTCTTTGTGTCGTGATGTGTCGTGCTTTTTGGAGCGATGCTAGATCTGCCAGGTGTCTAAGGGGGTGGCCACAAATGCCAGGCTTGATCGACCGTTGTCGATTTCTGCTCAACCAGTGGGATCAGCATGGACTTTGTGTTGGGTTTTCCACGGACGTGGTGGGACCATGAATCCATCTTTGTCGTTGTTGACTGCTTTACGAAGATGGTGCATTTTATCCTCTGCAAGCGGACCACTGATGTTGTGCACGTGGCTTAATTGTTCTTCCAGGACACGCGGTATTTTAGCTACTTCTGGCGGAGTTTGTGGCATCTCGCGAATACGAGATTGGATTACAGTAGTGCTTATAACCATCTACAAACTGACGGTCAGATCGTCAATCAGTCTTTCGGGAATTTATAGTGGTGTTTGGTGGGCGAGAACTGTTAAGCTGAGATGTTCGACTTAGTCAAGCTGAGTTTGCCCATAACTCACGTGTCAGTCGGGCCACGGGATTGTCTCCTTTCCAGGTCGTATATGCGGTTCGGCCTCGTTGTCCGGTGGACTTGTTGGTTTTGCCTTCCACCGAGGCGTATGATTGTCGTGCTAAGGATTTTATTGCAGATTTGGTGCACTGACATATAAATAGTTGCATAATGAGGTGAAATTGAGAATATGCAAAAACTATTGCACTCTCCCCATTTATTATGAAAAGAATTCGACCAATATATCACAAATGGGCATGTACGAAGCAATAACACGAGGGTACATAAGAATTGAAATCCCCATTTATTATGAAAAGAAATCGACCAAAAGGACATATACGAAGCAATAACACGAGGGTACATAAGAATCGAAAAACGGAGATTTAATAATTGGTCATGCACACTCTTTTTTCTGTTACAACATATGGTTCGATTACACGGAAAACCTATCAACTAAACAATGTATGTTTTAGTTCTTATCTGCATCAAGACATTTACAACCGATTTCATAAGTGCTTTACTGAATCGCATTTTCTTTTTCTTGCACCAATTTTGCAAATCATCCCTCAATCTTTCTTTAGGCTGCAGGAAAAATTGTTCGACCAAAAACGAGACTAGCGGCAATACGTGTCGGGTGGTGGAGGTGGCGGGTGCACCACCCCTGGACGTGGGCCCTTAGTCGCCAGTGGAGACGGTGGCGAAGGTCTCGGTTTTCCCCTTTTCCGGTGATAATGAAGTGCCCCATAAAGCCTCTGTGGCGGCTCTGGCTTCCGTAGATCGGCTGTCGTAAGTGATGAAGACAATATGATCAAAACGCAGAAGAAGAATAAGAAGAAGAAATACAGTGCTGATGGTTTCATATAGCTAGACATTTTTTGTTTTTCTTCCTTTCTTTAGGGGGGAAATTGTCTATGAAGTGAATTTAAAGATACATAGTGCAAAAGACTTTTGAAAACTTTCAAGTGGGCAGTAGGCACATATTTTCTCATACAGAGACGCGCTTTATTTGAGTAGAATTATATGCAGTGGTTTTATTGTTTATGTAAAGATATAAAGA